GGTAAGTACCGGCCCTGCGGGGCCTTGCAACCAACCAGTACCCTTGCGGGTCACACACACACTCAACCGTCAAGCACTCAGACAGGCATGCAAACCAGCAGGCACGCACACACACACAGACATGGAAATCACAGCAGAGTGTGGGAATTTCAACAAGGCATTCATTCCAGCGGCAAATCCCAGAAGTCAGCAGTGTTCTCAGTCTGTGTTTTTGGCGGGTCATTACATTACCCCCCTCTCAAGAGCGAGGTCCCTTCGAGCGAGTAACTCAATCAGAGTTGGCACATAATGCATTGTAGGTGTAGATCAGAAGGAAAGACTTAGTAAGTCCGTGAGGAGTCATTTCTGCAACGAATTTAGCAGTCTGTCCCTCAGCGATATGTCGTTCATAAGCGTTCACAACACAGGGAGCACTCTTTAGCAGCTCTTTTTGGTCGATCCAGAAAAAAACAGTCAACGGGTGATAGAGGAAGTGAACCTTGTACTGTCTGTTCCTCCCTCTTCCCTCGTGAGAAACGATTCGGTCTATCTCATGGCCACCGTCGATAGGGCGAGGTATCATAGGGTCTCGGAATGGAAACGTCTCATCATCAATTTGTGGAAACCGTTTGGACGCATGAAAGACCGGATACGTGCGCAAATGAGGAGGCACGTCAATCACACAATAGCCTTTTTAGCCTGAAACAAATGTCCATTTTCGGTCGTTCATCAGAACGACCATCCCTGAAACTCAGGCACCGAACCCGGGTTTCGGGGACAGGCTATTCTTAGCCTGTTCCCACGACAGCCTCAGCAGAGGCTGCAGCTCCAGCCCCTGGCACACTTCGGCATTGGCAAGAGCAGCCTCCTCGGCCTGGCTCGCCCTGCAGGCAGTCAGGAGGCAGGCCGAGGTAGTACATAGGGGCTTCCCATGCAGTTCACGGGCAGGCAGGAGGGAGTCAGTAGTCTTCAGGATTCGGCAGCAGCACTCTGGAGGGAGCGCTGCAGGAGTRGTAGTAGCGTTAGCATTAGTCTTCAGCGCTGGGCGCAGTAGGTAGCTGTAGTCTTCAGCGCTGGGCGCCGTAGCTAGGATAGCACTAGAGAGAGAGAGATTGGGCGGAGGCAAGGAGTACCTACCTGCAGCGCCGTTGCTCCAGGTTCGTCTTCGAGGTACCTGCAGCACAACGCCAACTTCACAGGTTAGCATCTGGCTCGTGACAGAGAGAGTTCTTCTTCTTCCTCTTCTCAATCCACCATCTCCCTCTTACCCTCTCATTATCTGACTTCACTGCATCAGCAGACTACGAGAGAAAGAGAGAGAGAGAGCTTGGTGACATTGGATCCAGACTCGACTTTTGGGCTTCAGACATTACGACGAGGGATTATTTGGGACTTGTGACAAAGACTTGGTGTTGACGACATTCCCATCTCTCCCCCTCTCTTCGTCTGATCCCCTCCCCTCTCTCTTCGTCTGATCCCCTCCTCTTCGTCTGTGTATGTCTGGACCTGGCGCTATCTTCCTGTGTACAGCGCCAGGCTCCTTCACACCTTGTGATGGACACGATGTATGTTTGGTCTGCGTTCAAACATTGATTGGGCTAGTCATTAGCATTCTAGCATTCTGCTT